ACTCAGATGAAATTCAGAGTCCCTCCTGGGCACAGTGGTGCAAGCATGTAATGCAAGCAATTTAGTAGGCTGAGGCAGGAGGACCAAAAGGTCAAGGTTAATCTCAACAATTTAGCAAGGTCCTGTCTCAAAATACAATAAAAAGGAACAAGCACATAGCTCAGTAGTAGAGCTAGTAAGTGTGAGACCCTCAGCTCAATTCCCAGGACAAATGAAAAACAAAACAGCTGGGCACAGTAGTGCATGGCTATAATCCCAGCATTTTAGGAGGTTGAGGCAGGAGGATCATAGGTTCAAAGCCAGCCTCAGCAACTGAGCAAGGCCCTAAAAAACTCAGTGAGACCTTGTCTCTAAATAAAATATGAAAAAGGGCTGGGGATGTGGTTCAGTGTTTAAGTGCCCCTGAGTTCAATCCCCAGTACCAAAAAGAAAACCAACCAATAAAAAAAAAGTATAATCCTGCTGTCCCTGGGCAGGAAAATAAATAATAACAACCCTCCCTTATGATGGCATAGTACACTGAAGTGGACAGAACACTGCACATAAACAGTCATCCCTCTTGGACCTCGGACAGCTCAGTAATCATTCAGAAAAGTATTCTCTTGGGAAGCAGGGAGACAGAAATCAAGATCAGTGGTGATGCAGGAAGACAGGCAGCCTGGAAGAGCAAACAATGTGAAATAATCTTTAGTCATTGGACTTTTCTGAGCCTCAATATCCCCATCTGATAAATGTGTTTAATAATATTTTCTAAATATGATGTAAAATGTTAACCCAGCAATTCTGGAGGCTGAGCCAGAAGGATTTCCTGAGCCCAGAAGTTGAAGGCCAACCTGGGCAGCATAGTGAGAACTCATCTCAAAAAAGAAAAGCCAGGTACAGTGGCATACACCTGTAATCCCAGTGGCTTGAGAAGCTGATGCAGGAGGATCACAAGTTCAAAGCCAACCTCAGCAACTTAGTGAGGTGAGGCCCCAAGCAACTCAGCAAGACCCTGTGGCTGGGGATGTGGTTCAGTGGTGAAGCACCCCTGGGTTCAATCCCTGGTACACCCCCCCCCGCKGAGAGAGAGAGAGAGAGAGAGAGAGAGAGAGAGAGAGAGAGAGAAGATGGCAAGTGGTAGAGTTCAAGAGTTCAGAGACTCCTGAGATGAAGGTGTCCCTGGGCCAGGGTGAAGACAGGTATCCTATCAGGTTGCCTCACATAGTCAGCAGTCGGTATCTGAGGGTTTCTCATCTGCGGGTTCAACCAACCATGGATGGAAAACTATTTATCTCTCTATGTATGTATTTATTTATTGGTACTAGGAATTTTATTCAGAGCTGTTTTACCACTGAACCACATTCCCAGACCTTTATATTTTTTACTTTGAGACAGAGTCTCATCAACTTGCTTAGGGCCTCACTAAGTTGCTGAGGCTGGCCTCAAATTTATCATTCTCCTGCATTAGCTTCCCAAGTCAATGGGATTACAGGTGTGGGCCACTGAACATGGATAATTGAAAATTTATATGTTTTAGTTATATCTGTACTGAACATATATAAACTTTTTTCTCATCGTTATTCCCTCAATGATACAGTGTAACAAGAATTTACATAGCATTTGCATTGTATTCAGTATTGTAAATATTCTAGAGGTGATATAAAATATACCAGAGGATGTGCAAAGGTTCTATGCAAATACTGTACATTTTATTCATTCATTCATTCACTCATTCATTGGCGTACTAGGGATTGATCCCAGAGGCTCAAGCACGAAGCTACATCCCCAGTCTTTTTTATTATATTTTGAGACAGGGTCTTGCTCAATTGCAAAAGCTGGCCTTGAAATTGCAATCCTCCTACCTCAGCCCTTCAAGTAGCTGGGATTACAGCCATGCATGCCATGGCTCATGTTATATCATTTAACCAAGACACTCAAGCATTCATAGATTTGGGTATCTAGGTAGTTCAGGAACCATCTCTCCATCGATGCTAAGGGACAGCTGTATTATTCTCATTCCAACCCTATTTGGATTTTTTTTTTGTTGTGTGTGGGGTACTGGGGATTGAACTCAGGGGCACTCAACCATTGGGCCATATCTACAGCTCTATTTTGAATTTACTTAAAGACAGGGTCTCACTGAATTGCTTAGAGCCTCGCTGTTGCTGAGGGTGGCTTTGAACTAGAGTTTCTCCTGCCTCAGCCTCCAGAGCCACTAGGATTACAGGCTTGCTCCACCGCACCCAGCCCTATTTGTTTATATTTATTGTCTGTTACTGGGGATTCTACTTCTGAGATATAGCCCCTGCCACACCCGTATACACACACACTTTTTATTTTGAGACAGGGTTTTGCTAAGTTGCTGAGGCTAGGCTCAAATTTGTCATTCTCCTGCCTCAGCCTCCTGAGTAGCTGGCACACAGGCACATACCACAAACCCTATTAAGTTGCACTAGCCCAATTTTTTTTTAATTCTTTTTTTTTATTAATTTATTTTTATATATATATTTTTTTAGTATTTGGCGGACACAACATCTTTGTCTGTATGTGGTGCTGAGGATCGAACCCCGGCCGCACGCATACCAGGCGAGCGCGCTACCTCTTGAGCCACATTCCCAGCCCGCACTAGCCCAATTTTAGAAACAAAAACGAAGATTCAGAGATGTTAAGTAAAAGCCAGAGTCACAAGCTAATGAGTGGGAAGGTGAACAAACCAAGTCTGTCTGGTGCCAGAGCCTGTTGCCGTGTCTACCACACCAACCACACTGCTGTGGGCAGACATGGGTACTAGCACATCCCATCATGGAAGATGGAGTGAGTAGGTGTTCCCCCACAGAGGCAGGAGGCAACCAGAGTTAGCATGAACAGATGCACTTGAGCAGAAACCAGTGTAAGCAGGGCAGTGTGGCTGTAACAAATCTAGAGAGGCTGGGACCAGATTCAGAGGATCTCATATGTTTAGGATGAAGAATCAAGAAAGGTGGGGCTGGGGATGTGGCTCAAGCGGTAGCGCGCTCGCCTGGCATGTGTGCGGCCCGGGTTTGATCCTCAGCACCACATACCAACAAAGATGTTGTGTCCGCCGAGAACTAAAAAATAAATATTAAAAATTCTCTCTCTCTCTCTCTCTCTCTCCTCTCTCACTCTCTCTCTAAAAAAAAAAAAAAAAAAAGAATCAAGAAAGGATTCCGCCCTGGGAGAGGTCTTTTGAGCCACTTGATGAGAAAATGATCATGGCAGGAGTATGGAAGGGCTCGGGAACTAGAAAAGTCCCCATTAGTGGGGCTAACAATGACAAGGCATGTAGTGAGGGAGACAGTGTAAGCAGAAATGACACATATGAATGTAAGAAGCAAGAATCAGCAGGACTGGGGTGGGGGCAACCAATACACGAAGTCACCAACATTGTGTATGCAGGTTTTCACACATAATATCCAAACTCCAACAAAGTCTAACCTACCCTGGTCCTCCTTCCTCTCTATGGGTTCCCTCTGCTATAGGCACACGGTCCTTTTCCTATGTGTTCCCACAGCAGGCTTTATATTCACCATTTCCTCTGCATAGAGGTGCTTGACTCCTGTCAGTTCAAATGTCACCTTCTCAGGAAGCCCTCCCTGACTCCACCAGCTAGTAATGTCACCAGTCTCTTGTTAGCACATGAAGTTGTTTCATTTCCTGTATAACATTTCTGAACATCTGAAATAATTCTATTTTATTGCATTATCTGTTCAGTCTGTCACCTTTCCCTGGAATGTCAGCTCTGGGGGAGCAGGGACCATGTCTATCTCATTCACTCCAGTATCACCAGCATCTTTTTTTTTTCCCACCAGAATCTTAAACATACCTGGCACATAGCAGATACTCAACATGTACCCATTGAATGAATGTTGCAGGGGAGGGGGAATGAAGGGAAACAAAATGGAACCAAGGCCAGAGGTTGGGAAGTGCTGGAAATGGGAGTCTTCTCTGGTGTGCCTTTCAGACTATCATGTTTGAGGTGATGTGAACTACTCAGGGGAAAAGGTCCTAGATAGAAGGCAGAGAAGAGGTCCAGAGATTGGAGATAGAAATGTGATGGTGAGAAAAGATACACATCTATCAGGGGAAAAGTGTGAAAGAAAAAGGACAGAGAAGCATGAATGAGCCTAAGGGTCTTTATATCTTGTGGGGAGGAGAAAGTCCGAAGGGACAGGAAACAGGCATGGGCAGGGGCAGCAGCAGATTATAATCATGATCACACACCTGTTGGCAATAAACATGAACAATGTCCCTCCCTCCCAAACTAACAGACTTTGGAACCAAGTGGTACAGAGGACTTACCCACGGGACAGCATCTCCTTGGAAGGATGGGGGAATCACAGACAGAGGGCCACAGGGGGTGGGGAGGAGCCAGTGGCACAGTTGTGCACAGTGGTCCAGGAAGGAAGAACACGCCTGATCTCAGCCACTTCCTCCTCGATCCAGCCCTCCAGGCCAACAGCACTGAAAGGACAAGCCCCTGAACTAATGGTCTCCGGGGAAAGAACAGGTGGGGCGGGGCTGGTCTGAGACCGCCCACAGCAGCCTGCTCACCCCCGCTACCCGACTCTAGTCCAACAGGCAGCCTGCCAGTCCTGGGCTTCCTTCTCTTAAGAGGGGAGGAGCTACCTGCAGCTCCACCTGGAGTGCCAGCTGATAAAGCAGCTGCAGGTCCTGTAGGGGCAAAGACCAGGAAGTAATGCTGGCCAAGGGAACACCGACCAATGGGGAACCTCTCAGTCTATGGAAACCAAGGAGTTCAAGGAAAAAACCCCGGAAACCCAGTTCTCAAAGAAGGAGGTGCCACCTGTGTAGACCCACCCTCTCACCTTTCCGTGAGGGGAGGAGCCTTAGGCTCTCACTGGAGTAGGGTTGGGCACAGCAGGAAGTTACAAGAAGGACTTTCACAAGGGAATGTAGCAACCTGGAAAGGCACAAGGAATCCAAGGAGGTTGGGGAATAGGAGTGGGTTGTCAAGATCACAAAAGACTGACACAGGATTAAGTCACAGGTACATTTATTTTCCTCTGAAACACCTGAGGTTCTTCCTCTCCCTTGCAGCAGCACAGGGAAAGGCCAACTCTCAGGAGGCAGCCACACTGCCACCAGAAGCAGGCCCATGGGTCGGCAGCGTCATGGGTGGTAAGAACAGAGCCTTCAGCTTTCCTGACAGGCTGGCAATCTCAGGATCCTGGGCTTCATAGGATTTAACCAAGCGAGCAAACTTAAGGACACCTGGAAGAGGGAGTGGACAGTCAACTCACATTCTGGGGCCCAGTGTGACAAAGACAGCTAGTGGGGAGTGGAGGGTGGCTTGAATATGAAATACTGGCTCTGCAGGGTTTGAATCAATCACTTCTGGTCTGTACTGGTTACAATGGGATGGGATGGGATGCAGTGAATAAAAATATCCCAGAAATAGTGTGCTGCTCAGTCTGAGGTGGGCCATTTTAGCACTAGTCACAAGAACCCCAAGTATGAACATCCATGAGATCCCATATCTATAGCGGGACACAGGAAGACAGTGGGGCAGCTGGACTGAATCAATGCACACGCTTGGGAAATTCAACCTCTAAGCCTTGAACTGATTAGCTGAAACACCTTTCAGGAACTACAGAAGTGTACTGTCATGCAGACATCTTGCTAAAACTACCAAAACGACGGGGTTCAAGTTCCTAGTACTTGTTACCCTGGGCACTTGTTTTGCTTTAAAGTCTGTTCCATCTTAATATGGAAAAATGGTGTGACTAATAGTTAAAACAAAATGCACTTAGGGGGCTGGAGTCGTAACTTAGCGGTAGAGCTCTTGCCTCGCGCGTGTGAAGCACTGGGTTCTATTCTCAGCACCACATATAAATAAATAAAAGGTCCATCAACGACTAAAAAATATTTTTAAAAAAATGCATTTAGGACGTCGCCGGCAAAAGTTCATGGTAGGTCTTGGGCTGCGTGTGCCAATACTGTTAGATTGTGGCTGCCGCCGTGTGGCAAGAAAGAGGACGGCAGCACTGGGGCCCACACATTCTGCGCCCCAACCACCCCACCGCCGACCCGCGTCCGACCCACCTTCCCCGTCGCAGCTGAAGCCATAAGCTTTGATAACCTCTTGTTGGATTTGCGTGGCCACGGGCAGCACGAATTGCAGCATCTTGCCCATGTCGTTGCACGCATTGTCTCTAGCCTCATCCATGCGCACGGCGTTCTCCGGGGCCGAAAACGCCTGGATCACCTCCGCCAGGACCACTACGCACAAGATGCAGCCCAGGGAGGCGTCCCGGGGTAGCGCCAGGACATGGCCGGCAGGCCCAGCAGAAAGCGCAGGGAAGAGGGCGGGGAATTAGTGAATCGAGAACGTAAGTAACCCGGTAAAGCTCATAATCCGAATTCCACGAGCAAGGACCCCACATAGGCGGAGGAAAGGGACGGTATGCCAAGCCCTCCGTCCCCGTTTCCCGCGGAAAGTGGCTGGGTCTTTGGCCCAGTAACCCCCACCGCAACGGGCAGCCCAAACCATGACTAAGGTGCTTCTCACCCTTGGCCTGCTCCGCGCTCAGGGGCGCGGGTTGGGCCGCGGCAGACGCCATAGAACGACGAAAGCTGCACGTGCAGCGAAGATGTAAAACAAAAACGAGAAATGAAACACCTAGACAAACAAGCCACCTCCTACAGCAGTTCTCAAGGCTGGTGGAGGCGGAGGGGAAACAGCATCATCCGTAGCCGGAAGTGTTAGCTGAGCTTTAATCTCGGGGACTGTAAATTCCCGACTCTATTTGTCCGGGAAAATAAAGAACTGCACCAGCCAGTAAGAGCCATTCTGTCGTTAGAGACAAATCATGTGAGAGGGGCTTTCCGGCAACTGCCAGAAAGCCTGCTAGACAAATTCTAAAAGAGCTGCAACACTTATGAAGGAAAGTGTGGAGCCAGCTTGGGGTGTACATTAACTCCATTATTAGTGAGGGTGAGATCAAAGTGGTGCTTTTCGAACCCTTGCTAATGTAGAAGCAATAGGACATATTATGACCTTCGGTAAGAAAAACAATATTCTAAGGAATTTAAGTGATTCATTTCTAGAGTTTGTGAATGTTTGATTTCGTGTATGCAAATGAGCTCTATGCTGACTGGCTGAGAAAGCAGCCAATCACAGCCCCTTTCTTAAGAACCAAGACAGTGATTCGCAGCAATGAAAGCTCAAAAAAAACGAGAACCCTTCGGATCTTTTAAAATGGCCTTGTATAGTCGTAGGTAGTGGTGCATAACGCTCTATATCCTTTCCCTTCCAGGCGTTTGGAATTGTCACCCACTGAATGCCAAGTCCTAATCACACGAGTTTACCGAATCTACACTCGCACTTCATAATGTGCCTCAGACTATTCTCGGAAAGGATTCGCGACCCTGAGGCCCTCATTAGAGGCCTCAGGGGGCACCTAGTAGGATCAGTGACAGGAACACCTTCAAGATTTAAGTAGTTTCTTTGATCTGGGTTTGCCAGATGTAGGCTCATCCCAGGCCCTCCTTGCTGAGGTCAAGGAAAGGCCTAGCACCATAGTATACCATTGCCAGCAGAGCCAAGAATCTGAGTTCTTCTGAGGTTCCTGTTCAACTCTTTTGGGTCCCTACACCCAGTTCCTTAATAATCCCATCCCTTCCCACTTCCCTGTTGCAACAAGACCTCACCCGAACCCCCTTAGCCCACAAAGAACAAGTCACAGCCATCTTCCTGGGGAGTTGTGAGGATGTTTTTGTTTGGTTGGTTTTGGTTGGRATGTTTTTTAAAGAGCATCATATAGATATTTATATATATAAATTATTAATGTGGGGGAGGGTAAGGGGCATACATCGCAGAGGGGGCGCGCACACAGGGATTGGGAAGGGGCAGGGCAGGGGCGGCACACGATGCTACGCAAAACAGCCACATCTAACAGATGAAATAATCACACCAACGGGGTGGGGGAAGGGCAGTGACCACCGAGGGCTGGGCATAGGGGAGGAGGAAAGTAGGGCACAAAAGAAGAGGGACCTGGTCCAAGGTACTGTGCACTTTCCATCCCCACCTTTACCACCTCCCCACCTCTGCCCTCTGCACACCACCTGGGCCTTGGCCTTCTGTCTGTTCCTTATTTCCTCCCTCCCTCTGCCCAGCTGTGGAGGCCCTGCAATTGAATAGCACCCTCTCCTTGGCTCTGGGTGGCAGCTAGGAGGGGGTCCTTCAAGGTTCAGATGTAGGAGCCATGGTGTTCTCTTGATCGAAGGTTCTACAGTGGCTTGTCACTTTCTTTCTTCAGGTGACTAGGGAAGAAGTGATGCACAGCAGAGAAATGAGAGACTGAGATCAACTGTGACCTTGTCTTCTTCACAGATAGATGGAAAGCAGGGGGTTCCTCCCCTAGGACCCTACTGCCCATCCCATGCTGGCCTAGCCCTTCTTCCCTGACTCGTGGTCTATGAACACCCCACAGTACCTGTAGTAGTCCTCCTGGGCAGGTAGTGGCATGCTCTGCAGCGGGTGATGGGCATGCAGCCACTGCTGCTGTTCCAGCGCCAAGCGCTGCAGCTCAGCAGACTGCGCGTGCATGGCCTGCAGCTGATGAGCTGCAGACATCGGGGCAGAGAGGGAGGCTGGCAGGTCCCGGTAAGGGGCAGCTGTGAGTAGAAAAGCAAGGGGCACATGACCGATGGATACTGAGTACATGCTTTGGGCCAGGGGTTAGACAACCATTTTCCATATAGAGAAAAGAGTAGAAAATAAAGTAACGTTGCCCATCTTGCAAGCTGCCGATGGTGGAATGGAATTAGAAATCAAACCTCTTAGCCTGGCCCTAAAACCTGAGCCTCTCTTGAGCAAAACCTCAGCTCTCCTTTTTTTTTTTTTTTTTTGTATCAGGGATCAAACTCAGGGACACTCAGCCATGAGCCACATCCCCAGCGTTATTTTGTATTTTATTTAGAGACAAGGTCTCACTAGTTGCTTAGTGTCTCACTTTTGCTGAAGCTGGCTTTGAATTCATGATCCTCCTGCCTCAGCCTCCTGAGCTGTAGCTCTCCTATTCTTATTCCAGCTATTCATGCCTCCCAACTCTCACTAGACCCATCCCCAATACCCGCATTCTGTCCTCTCATTAGTGCTTCCCTACCCCAACCTCTGTCCTTACCAAAAAGCTGGTGACGAAGAACTTCGTTCTCGTGCAGAGGGTGAGGAAGAAGGGGGTTAGGGAGGGTCCCAGCTGGGTAAGAAATCCGGGTAAGGTGAGACCCTGAGGCCAGGGGGTCAATGAGAGGGTGCACCGAGGCAGAGGCTAGAGGGCAGAAAAGAGGAATGTGTCACTAGAAGGCATGTTTTGGTAAAAACCATGCATTTGGGTGGGGGATCTGAGTCTGGGAAGAAACATGGACAAACACAAGGGAATCCAAAGTGGAACAAAGGTAGAATGGAAGCACTAGAGACCTGGGGAATGGACAAGAAGAGACCCTACAGGAGTAGGGACACACAGATGTCAGATTACAGTTGCCAAAGGGTTCTGAGAATGAGGAAGGAGAGAGTAAACTTACTTTGAGAAGGTGGGAGATGATGGAAGTTTAGAAAATGAAACAGGAAGAGTAGGGAGATTAAGAAGACAGCACAAGGGATCCCAAACTGAACATGAGTGTAAGGCTAGGCTGGGCAATGTTTATGAAATATTATAAAAGTTTCTTATAAAGAAATATGGGGAAAGGATAGTAAGTAAAGCTCATTATTGCCTGCAACACCCAAAACAAAGTTAAAGAGCCCTTTCTAGGGGGTTTCAGACCTAGAGATGGGAAGGAACATAAAAGACCTCCAGCTGGAACAGAAGGAAAGGATGGCAAGAAACAAGATTTGAATCCAGGGGAACAAGAAAATTAGTATGCTAAGGGCTTTGGGAAAAGGGATGCAAGGATGGAAAAGTGGTGTGCCCTCAAAAAGACTCCAGCTTGGGCCTCTATCGAGGGGAAGGGGTGTGGGGAATGCACAAGCTCTACGGCTAAGCAAGTGCATGGAGGAATGTCAGGGAGGCAAAAATCAGGGGAGCTTTCTCAGGAGAGGTTCTGTCAGAACAGTAAAGGGAAGTGGGTCTGAGAAACAGAAGAGCCCAATCAGGTAAGGCAGCCCCACATGTCAAAGCCAGGAAGCAGGGGTCTCACCTGCATGAATGGCATCCTGCTGGTGCAGGTGCAGGTGAGAGTGGATGTGAGAGTGCTGGTGGTGATGAGGGGTCACATTGAGCATCTGCAGCCGAGCCAGTGGGTCATTGCCCAGGGCTGCCACCCTTTCAGCATGTTGCCTCTCAGCTGCCAGCCGTTCAGCATAGGACATGTCCGGCCGCAGGGCTGGCCCAGCTGCCAGCGCTAGACGTTCTCGTTCCAGAGGCCCCAGGCTTGGATGAAAAGGGAAAGGGTGCARGCCAGGAGGGCCAGGCTGCAGAGCCAGGCCCCCATGTCGGGGGAAGGGATCCAGGCCTGGCCCAGGGACCCCATGTAGGGGTTCCAGCTCACTTGGCTTCACCTCGAAGCCAGGCTTGAGACGATCACGGAGATCTCGTTCACGGGCTTCCCGCTCCCTCTCCCGGGCAGCTGGGTCACTGCTGTATAGGGCTGGGACATTGTAACCCAGAAGCCCCGGGTCCACTGCCCCCAACGGCACGTAGAATGGATGGTTGCGATTGCCAGGAGACATGATATACGGTCGGGCATATTCACTGAGAGTGCGCAGGGCTGGAGTGTCAGGACCCAGGTAGGGGGGCACTGTAGCTACAGCACTACCAGGCTCAAATGGAGGGCGATGGGGCACTGGGCCCAGAGAAGGGCACTCCACTGGAGCACGGCCCTCCTGCGCCAATTTCTGTGGGGTAGAGGAAGAAGTGGAGTTAAAAGAGGACCTACGAGGATATTTGGCTGGTCCCAAGTTGCCCAACTGTCTGAGCAACTGAATGCCACGATGCTTATAAAAGAATGTTGCAACCCTGACTGTGAAAGAACGTCCCTGCACCCCGACCCCGCCGCAAATTTGCCCTTCTTGTGATCTACTGGTAGTCTGACCTAAGCAAGCCTTCCCCAAACCCAGAAATACAGATTGCTCCCACTGCAATCCTCTTAGGCTCCTAGTTATGGGCTGCAGTGGTTCATCCTCTCCGACAGGTGGCGAAGTGATTCTCGTCTCGCCCCTAGTCCCAGCCCCAGCCCATCCGGAGCCCAACTACGCAGCGCCAAGAAGGGAGGGAAAGGCGGCGGGTGGCGCATTTTGTGACGCACTTACCACGCTGCGTTCGAGCTCGCGCTCTTTCTCGCGCTCACGCTCCTTTTCGCGTTCCCGCTCCCGCTTGTGCTCCTTTTCTTCCCGCGTTCACTGTTCAGCCTCGCACCGCACCTTCTCCACCAGGTCGGCCCGCTTCTTGGCCAGCTTGGAGCCCTCCAGCGGCACGAAATACAAGTCGCTGCGCGCGCACGAGTTGAAGCCGCGGTCTAGGTGTTTGTTAAACCTGTGGGGCGCGGAGGCAGTGCGCGCTCAGTTCCTGCTAGCGGCCCGGCGGCCATCCTGCTCCATCCTCAAAAGCAGCCTCCGTGAAGGCGGAGAGCTGTTTAGTGTACTTCTAGAAAGCACCACATAAACACGAGGCTCCGGTGTCCACCGTACCCCGACTCCAAACCCACCGGCACCCGACCCAGGTTGCTCACCTGGCAGACTGACTGGCGTGGCTCGGCACATCTACCACCTTGGGAGGGGGCGAGGGGCTGCGGGCTGGGGGCACGGGGCTCTCTGGGGTCTCGTACTCCTCAGTTGGCTCTTGTTTGATCTGTGTGGCACTCAGGGGTGGCCCTGAGGCAGGGGCCGCAGGTGGTGGCGGCAGAGATGATAGGCTTGAGGGCCCTGCAGGTGGCAAGGGCCCAGACGCCACAGTTGGTGAGCCTGGCTTGAAGGTCCCTGGGCCTGCTGGCGGGGAGGTGCCTCGAAAGCCCGGTGGGGTCCCCGTTCTGAAGGAAGGTGGTGACCCGGGCTTGTATCCCGGTGGGGTGGCTGTCTTGTAGGCCCCGGGGGACGAGGCTCTCTTGCCATAGGGTGGGGGCCCTGGTAGGGAAGCTGTTTTGAAGCCTACTGGCGAGAAAGCCACGGTGGCAATGACTGTGGAAAGAGTAGCGGAGAAGGTGGTGACAGGAGGCACCAGTGGGAAGGGGCAGGATGCCCCTTGGGGTCCCTGAGAAGGGGAAGGATGCGAACATGGGTAGGTGCCTTGAGAAGAAGAGGAAGGGTTGGAAGAGGAGACTAGGGGGCCATTGGGCCTGCTTGGCTGTAGGACACCTGGCTGTGAGGTGGGGGCAGGTGTGTTGTCCCTGACCGGTAGGGTCTCAGAGACCCCAGGGAGGGAGACATGGTGTAAGGGTGTGCATGGTGGGAGCCACTGCTCTCCAGGGTGTGGGGATATGCTCCAGGTGGAGGGGGCCCAGAGCTTCCATGCTGCTGCTGCTGGTGGTGGTGATGGTGATGTGTTGGAGCTGGTGGTGTGCAGTGGATTGGCCCCCAGAAGTAGGGAAGGGGCTTGGATGAGCATTGCTATTGGCCAAGAGTCGACCATAGGGAGGAGGTGGAGGGGGACCCTGGCTCCACACAGCCTGGGATGGGAGGGGAGGCTGAGTATACTTGGATGACTGATTGGAGACAGAGAGACTTGTTGGGGGAGGGAAGGAGTGGGGATAACTGGGCAATGCCTGGGAAGCTGGGTACTGGGAAGCAGAGGAAGAGGAGGAAGAAGTGGAAGAAGAGGCTGCCACAGAGCTACTGCTAGAGGATGAATAAGGATACCTCATTGGGGGAGCTGGAGCAGAAGAGGAGRAAGCAGGAGGCAGAGGGTGGGGTGAGGGAGCCAGAGTTGGGCCCTTTTCTGGGCCTGGAGGAAGTCCACCCATGCCCTGACCCATGSCMTGASSWSAGRGAAGATGTSCAGGGAGTGGCTGGGCCCCTRGGCCAGGAGGAGAGGCTGAAGCGTTGTTGAGGGGTCTCAGGGCAGGTGGTGGAGGAGGCAGTTTTGGTGTCACATGAGGGAAAGTGGCTGGTGGTGGAGCAGAGGTTAGATTTCCACCACCCACTGGAGTATTAGGTGGCTTTGTTGGGGGAGCACCACTAGCTCCAGAGCTTGATATTGAAATGGGGGTTGTGGGTGGGGGGTGCTGCTTACCCCCGCTAGAGGCCCCCACTGAAGAGGCAGCCCCTCCTCCTTTGGGACCYATTGGGGGTCCGGATAAAACTCCACCAGCTCCCCCAGGATAGAGCTGAGGATGAGGGGGAGGGGCCCCAGGAGGAGCCTGGAACATYYGGGAAGTGGGGGGCTCCATGGGAGCATGATAYCCAGTTGGTGTCACAGAGGAATGGGGTTCAAAGCCAGGATCTGGCTGTCGGGGGGTGCTGTCTGGTTGTGGAGGGGAGGGAGGAAAGAGTGGAGGTGGATGGTAGGGGCGGGCTGGGCCCTGGGACAAGCCAGAAGATGAATCGGAGTCATTCTCCACACTCCCAGGGCTGTAGATGCTGGGGGATGTGCTTCGGTTATCCTGGTCTATATCCCTAGGGTCACTGCTGCCATCATCGTTGAGGCTCCGCCCATCCAAGCTATCCAGATCTGAGGGAGACTGTGGCCGAGGGAGCTCCTGCTGCATAGAGAAGAGGACCATGTTTTCCTTTCTCTCCCACAGTCATTTCCTCCTCACAGCAAACTGTTGTGCTGTGATGTGATGGGGATTCCTACCATCTGGGGTTCCCCCAATCTCCCCACATCTCAGCTTTCCCAGCAACCAGGCTTATTTCCCTCCTTGTTCAAACCCTATTCCTTCTCAAGTGTTCATCTCAAGCATTTTCACCCCCTCCACAGCTTACTCCATATCCTTGTCTTCCACTACCTCATATTTACCCTCATCTCATCTCATTGACTCCCTTTAATTTTTCAACCCCCAAACCCTTGGTTCTCAAAAAGACCACTTCTGCATTTTCCTTATGACTTATTTGTTCCTTCTAGTAAGACTTCTTAATCCTTCAGTTCTTCCATTCTCCTTTAACCCTGCCTGGTCATCTACTGGTCTGACCAAAGCCAAAAGATCAGTCTGACATATAGACATGATCACTTTAATAAACACTAAGTTATGATTTTTCTCTTATATCCCAGCAGAGAGCAAGGTAGAAATGTGAGCAAAAGGAAGTTTGGGGAAAGAATGGTCAAAAAACGAGTCAGAATGGATAACAAGGTCTCCTACCTCCGTTTTGGTCTTTTTTGGTGCATTCGTCTCCTCACTTTCACTCTCTGAGATCTCCTCACTCCGGCCCTGCTTCGTGACTTTTGGTGTGGAAGCTTCCTCTACCCGGGCCTTCTGTAAAAGAGAAAGAAAATTCCTGTCTTCTTCCTCCCAACCCTCCACTGTTACTACCTTCTGCCAGCCTGAAAGCTCCCCCCATGACACACCCTTAGCCCCAGTGCCAGAACATGCTGTGTGAAGACCTGGGGACAAAATACCTTGGCTGTCTGCCTGGACTTCTCAGCTTTGCCATCACTGCTGGATGTGCTGACTCCTCCAGGGGAGGCCCGGCCCCTTGATCTCAGTTCTTCTCGGGGCCCAGGGGCCTCTTTCTTCCGTCCACTCCTCATTGACATCTAAGGAAGGAAGAAGGAGGCAAGTAATGTTTTTTATTTCACCTGACTTTATAATGCATCTTATTTCTGTTTTTCCTTTCTAGATCCTTCCTCCTAGTTTCTCTGCACCTGCCCCAACCTTTCATGCCTCTCATAGTAGCTATTACTCACTGAGTCTTTATTCTGTCGTGTCTTCATTCTTCAGGCTGTGGAGACCCCATTCTCCTCTGCCTGGGCAGCTGAATACAGAAACTTCTCTGCTCTGCCTCAAGCTCCCCACAGCCGTGGCCTGGGAAGCAGGTGTAGTCACCTGGAACGGATCTGTTTTCAGCAAAACCTGTTTGGAAAAGACCATAAGAGTCTTCATATTGGAGAACAAAATCTGAAAGAGGTACTACTGTGCCTGTCAGAGGGCTAAGCAGCTCAGCCCTGAGCCTTCTGGACAAGTGGGACAGTTAACAAGACACTCATTGCTGGATTGCCCCATGGGTTATCTCAGCTGTTTAAATGAGGGAGATTCTACTCATACTACAATCTCTTATTTCTGGGGAAGACAAAAAATTGAGATGTACCTGTGAGCTCCAATCCAGATCGCTCAGTTTTCCCCTTTATGATCACTAAAGAATATTTATGTACCTGTGAATTCCACAGAGCTTTACAAAGGAGGACAGAGAAATGAAGCTGAAGTATTAATTTATTAAGTGTCTTCCTTGTGTCAAGTCCTTTAATACATGATATCATGTAATATTTACAATCAACCCTGAAAGGTAGGTATTAGTATTATTCTCATTAGAAGGGAACTTAGGCTCAAAGATTGTGTGACTTGCCCAACCTCCCACAGTGAAGACCCAATGACAGCCAGAATCAAGCCCTTGTCTCTCTTGACTTCAAACTCTTTCTTCTATACTTTGCTATACTCTCCTTAGAAGTTGGTGGGGAGAATTCTCAGAGAGCCTASATCAGTCACAGAGATAAGAATTTTTTCATACCAGAGTAGGCGGAAGAATGTCCCATTCTACAATACATAGGAGCAGAGCCCAGTGAATCCCAAAACCAAATCTAAATATCCCCCAAGTTGCAGAACTTGGTTTTGGAGACCTCACAAAAACCCATCCTCCAATATGGTTGACATTCCACATCCACTGGTTCTGCATCCACAGATTCAAACAACTATAGATGTAAAATATTTGGAGAGAAAATTCCAGAGAGTTCTATAAAATAAAACTTGAATTTGCCATACACCAAGCCCTATGCTGAATCTGAGAATGAAATAATGTCTAGACGTCCCCTGCTATAGCTTCCTGTGCCTTCACAGGTCCTCAATCTCTTCTCAGCTCTCACTATTTGCCTCATGTCCTTCATATACTATGTAGTTAGGCCTAGGATTGCTAGTTGCCTCTTTCTGAACTTGTTTCCTCTGTTCTGAATACATACAGACTTGCTTTTCTTGTCATTATTCCCTTAGCAATACTGTATGACAACTATTTATGCCAACAATTTAAATAGCATTTACATTGTATTAGGTATTAGATGAGTTAAAGTGTATGGGAGGACTGCATAGGTTATGTGCAAATACTGCATTATTCTACACAGGGAACTTCAACATCTACTGATCTGGGTATCAGCAGGGGGTCCTGGAATGAATTTCCTCAGACATCAAGGGAACAATGTGTTCCCTAAAATTAGGAGAGAAGCCAGGCTTCACATTAACAACCAAAATATTAAACAACAACAAAAAAGACTCAAAAGATGAGTGAGCACACAATACAGATTTATAATTTTAAGCCTATCCTCCTGCTTGGCAAAGATGATACCTATCAATAGATATAGATGTTGTCATATATTGGTTTCTCCATAGCCAGCTATTTTCATCTGCACTTGTTTGTATTTCTTGCTAAGAGTCAAGGCTCCATATTACAGACCATATGATCTTTTGTGAGCAAAAAATGCTATTTTCATACAGTTTTCCTCTCTATATCCTCGGCTGATATAATTTGTGTGTGTGTGTGTGTGTGTTTTCTTTTCTTGCTATTAATGTTTAAACTCAGCAACTTCAGTAGATCTTTCTTCTTGCTTTAAGTACTGCTAGCCTTGGTGGGACTGTATTAAGCTTGCCTACCTATCCAAAGTTAGAAGGCCTGCTAGGTAAATGGCATTTTCATATTCTATAGCATATTTTCCATAAGGAATACAAAATAATTACTTCTCATTCGCCCCCACTGAACCATATTGAGGGAGGCAACAGGGAATGCATCTAACCTTTCCAGAAAACTGGCAGTTTACTTAAGAGTCACAAGATAGCTGAGACAGAACCCCAGGTCTGACCTTTCAACTGATGCTCTGCCCAGTGGACTAGTCATTCTCTTTTAACTACAGCTAATACCACATTTTTGAGTTGTTATGTATATTGGTTTTACTTAACAACTATCAACTGGAGGTGGGGGGGGGGGTGACACATGCCTATAACCTGAGCAGCTCAAGAGGCTGAGGCAGGAGGATTGCAAGTCCAAAGCTGCCCTCTGCAACTTAGAGAGGCCCTAAGCAACTCAAGGAGACCTTGTCTCAAAATAAAAAATAAAAAGGGGATGTGGCTCAATGGTTAAGCACCCCTGGGTCTAATCCCTGGTACCTAAATAAATAAATAAATAAAATATATCAGCTAAAAACAACAACAACAACCAAATCCAAAGAACAAGAACCAACAAAATAAAAGAAGAAAACAATCTTAACAATAACAGAACAGGGGGCTGGGGATATAGCTCAGTTGGTAGAGTGCTTAACTTGCATGCACAAAGCAACACATACACACACACACACACACACACACACACACACACACACACAAAAAAAAAAAACTATAGCAGAGCAAAGATGGCTGGTGTATCTTTGCCAGCCTTCCTATGGCAGGGTGCCCCTCTCTCCTTCTCATCACAGACCTGTTGACTAAGTCAGGTAAGACCTAGGGATCCAAAAGACCAGAAAAATTCAGAAATGTACCTGAATAACCGAGCAATCATATGTGCTCTTCTTATTTTTTAATCAGCTGAAAACTGATAAAATTTGCAATGAATAGCTTTAAGGGAGAAAAGCACTTATTAAAAGGGAGGTAATGACAAGGGTGACAGCAGGAAGGACAGAGTTGGGTTGAATTGTAAGTCTGTTTTTGAACCTGAGCTGTGTTCTGGCACCAACAGCTAAACTAAACTCATCTTTGTCCTAGAAGACAGATACTGTAACTAATATTTATATAGTACCTTCTATGTATCTGTCAATACACAGAACACTTTCAATACACATTCACTTTCATTATGTTACTACAAAAGGAAATTGATGTATTGATGTGGCAGGTGGAAAATTAACAATAAAAAAAATAAAAATAAATTAAAAAAAACAGGAAAAGAACTCTAAGTAAGAAGAAGAAAAGAAATTAAGGAAAAAAATATGGGAAGGATGTCAAAGAATACAATCAAATCACAAGGCTCTCTGGGAAGTGTTTGCAGAGTGAATTTCAGGATCTTTGGCCCATCCCCCACCATTCCAGTGCTGCMAGACTAAAGTGTCCAAAGTGACTCTGATACTAAAGCAGCCCAGACCAGCAGAGACCAGCAGATAACAACGCACTGGCCTAAGCCTTCTTGGAATCCAGAGCGATCAGAGGGGCCTGAGATCATCTCATCTATAATCCCTTCATTTTTACAATGTAGGAGAGGTTCAAAGCAAGAGAATTGACTTGCCCAAGGTCAGAGTTTGTTAGAGGCACAGGCAAGCCGACATCAGGTCTCCCGATTTTCATTCCAGAATATCTGCTCTGCTCTTGGCTGTTTCACAGTCTTGTCCCCTGACCCCCCTCACCTAGAACGGACATGGAGAACCCAGCCATACCTAAAAGGTCAGGAAAGTAGAAGGTCAAAGGTTAGCGAGGAAAGGGCTCACCTTGGGGACTCTCTGGGAAAGAAGAAGAGATACTCAGGAAAGGAGACTCAAAAAAGAGGAATCCAGTTTAAGAAAATGGAACAATAGTGCAAAGCAGCAAAACGAGTACTGTATATGAACTATAATAAGAGAGGTAGAAGCCAGAACAATCTGCCCAAAGATGGTAAAACTTATTTTGTTGTTATTTCAGTGCTGGAGATTGAACTCAGGGCCTCAAATATGCTAGGCAAGCACTCTACCACTAAACTACCTACCCTCCAATCCCAGATGTATGATTTGAACAAGACCATTTTCATCTTCCCAACTATTCCTAGGAGGAGAGGCATGGAAAAACACAATGACCTGAAAGTAACACATCTACCTGTTCCAACAGACTGATGGATGGAAGCGGGTACACTCCCTGTGGAAACTTCTATCCACTGGCAGCACCAGAAACATTCTGCAGAATCCAGTCAAAAGTCCCAGTCTCTGTGGCTGGGTCCTATCAACATTCTGAAACCCTACCTATTGGATATCCCACTGCATCACTGCCACGCAACAAAATGGTAAAACAACATGCCCTTCAAGAGACCATCCCATCTTGGCAGCCACTGCCAGCACCACAGTTGCTAAAACAACTCCTATCCTTCTGTAGTACCTACAGGGAGGGTATCTTGTCCCCTGACCCTATCCCAGGCACAAAGGGAGACCTCTAATTTCATAGTAGTAAGAAAGGCCTTTCTATAGAGCTCTCAGCTGAGGGACATCCAGTGCTTTGAGGATTTGAGGGTGGAGGTCACAACTTGTTTGGAATGTCTGTAAGGTTGCCCAATTCCCTCTTTTCCATATTCCCAGAAACCCCTTCTTCCTAACTCTTCCTTTTAGTGTTCCTGTCCTTCTCATTAGTTTTAGGACTGAGCCCCGACGCCCCTCTCAAGAAGTAACTGTCTGGGATTGGAAAAACAGGGTCAGAGGTGAACTGGAGTAGAGAAAAGAAAACCGAATCACAAAAGACATGGCCTTCCCACTTCCACCCTCAGAAAACCTCTGACTCTCCTTCTCAAAGATGGACCTCTTCTGGCCCTTCTCCCATCCTCAGTTTCCCCAGGTTCCATTCCCCTCTCAGTAGCTACAATCCCTCTCTTTCCACCTACCACACCCCTTTCCCGGCTCCCACTTCCCTTCTATTCCTAACACCCGCAACCCACCCCCCCCACCCCGGCGGGCTCTGGAACCCATGTTCTGGGCCTCTGGGTCTTCTCCGTCTTCATGCCCCACCTTGCTGCCATCTCTCCAATCCATTCTGCCTTCTCGATGAACCACCCTCACAGCATCTCCAGTTTTTCCTTCACCAACCCTCCACCTCGGCGATCCTCCTCTTTTGGTCTCCGAGTCCGAGCTACCCTCCTGCCCCACCAGCCCCACTCCTGAGACCCCCTACTTCCCCACCTTCCCACCAGGAGCTCCCAGGCCCCCACCTCTCCTCGGAGCCGCCCCACCCCCTGAGCCCCCAGTCTCGGGCCAGGCAGTGCCCGCAGTGGGGAAACAGGATTGGGAAAATAACAAATGGAGGCGGCGGCGGGAGGGGAACGGGGAGGGGTGGGGGTGGGGAGTCGCAGGCCGGAACCCGGGCGGGCCAGAACCCCGGCGGGCCCGGGGCCGGGGGGCCGGGCGCCCGCGGATCTTACCTGCTTGTAGCTCGGGACAGCTGGCTGGCTCCGAGCGGGAGTCCGGGCTCCAGCGCCTTCGGGGGGCGGTGGCGGCCGATCCCCCGCCCCCCTCTTCTTTTCCCGGCTTCAGTCGCCGCCGCAACTGCGGCGGCGGCGGCCCTGACCCCCCCGGAGGGCGGCCCCCATGCCTTGTTCCCCCGCCCGGCCCCGGTCGCTCGCCGGCCCAGGAGCAGACCCGGATCGGCGGTCTCGCTCTCCCCCGCCCAGGCCCGCCGCCTCCCCCCGGCCGCCCGGAATGCCCCGGGCCGCGCCGTCCGCCCCCGCCGCGCCGCTCGCCCCCGCGCCCGGCCGGCCCTCCGCGCCGCTCTGGCCCGCCGCCGCCCGCGCCGCCGCGCGCAGCCCGCACTCGCGCGGTCCCCGGCCCCGAGGCGGCCTCGCCCGCGGCCCCCCCGCCCCTTCCCGGCGGTGGTCTCCCTCGCCCCCTAGGCCCTCCCCGAGGCCGGCGGTGCCCCCGAAACTGGTCCCGGCCCGAGGACCCGGCCCGGCGCGGGGCTGCGGGCGGGCTGGGCGGCGCGTCCGGCGACTCGCACAGGAAAGCGGACGGCGGAGGGAGGGCGCTTGAGAGAGGGGGATGGGAGAAGGGAGGAAGAGGGAGAAGGAGGGAGAGCGGAGGAACGGAGGAGAGGGGCCAGGAGGGAGACGCGAGGGAGGGAGCGCGAGGCAAGCTGCGAGGGGGGAGAGAGGGGGATCGGGGAAGGGGAGGCGCCGTGCGAGTTGGCCGAGCCTGAGGACTAGGGGGCCGGGGCGCGGGGAGGGCTTCGCTGTGGCAGAATATGGGGAGCCCGCGGGCCTAGTGTGGGAGAGGGCTGGTTAGGAGAGGTTGTAGATTGTGAAGGCAGACAGGAGAAAGGCTGGAGAAGTTTGGGGGCGACACGGTTGGTAGCAGAGGTGAGGTGAGAGGAGTTTGGGGGATATTGAAGTGGAGATTTGTATAATAGGGTTAGATTGGAAAGATGGAGGTTCTTGGGATCTTTGGGGCCATGAGGTGTGTGGCATGGAGAAGTGAAAGAAGCTTAGGGTGGAAGGGTTGGGGAAATATTTTCAGAGAGAATGAGATGGAAGTTTGGGGACTTGGGAAAAACTGAAAAGAAGACATATATAGGAGGATGAGGTTTCTGGAAGATGAATAAAAGGGTTGAGTAAAGAATTCGAGGCTGGTGAAGGAGAAGAAAACCCAGAGGAGATATCTGTGAGTACAGAGAAGTGAAAGCATGAGGAACCTTAGGGATGAAGGAGGAGGAACCAGATGCCTATTTCAGGGGAAGACTGGGCTAGGTGTGAAAGGAGGTGGGATGGCTGGATCCTGGAGATGGGAGCTTCCAGTCAGGAGGCTTTCCTTTAGCAAATAAAATGGGGAAGAAGGGGTTAAAATATTGGAAGAAAATAGAAGATAACGCCTTTGGTGGCAATATGGAGGGAAAGTCATTGATGGAGAAAGAGAAGAACTTGGAGATGGCAAGAGAGAGAGCTATGAGGAAAATGACAGAAATGGGGGATGGCAGGTGGGTAAGGAGTGGGACACCATCTCAGGCCCATCCATCCAGTTCATCTCCATCTTCCTTCCCAAGTCTGAAGTTATCACTAATGGTTTCTTAGGTCACCTGAAGGGTTCAGGGTAGACCTAGGTATGTATCATGGTTCCCTCTCCCAATTGTTTATACATAGAGACAGTCCCTACTATAGGCCACAGGTTCTTCCTAACCCTTCCTCCTCCCCTGATCTCTAGGCAGTCTCTGACTCAGTGTGCAGCTATTCCTAGTCTTCAACCATGAAGCCAGCACCCCCACCAGTCTACCATCAGTGCCTTCTTCTTGGCTCCCTCCCTGGCCCCACACCAAGCAGCAACATCTCCTAGGACAAAGGACACCAGAGACACAGGGTGATTTTTGGCAGCTGAAATTGGGAAGGCCAGAAAAAGGGAGGGAGGCAGGCTGGGAAACAGGAAGAACTGGAGCTGGAGTGTGGATTGGGAGTCTTCAGTAGCTTTCCAGATTTGGGGTGGGGGTAGGATACTTGTGGGGCCAGTCCCTCTGGAGACCTAGGGGACCCTGAACTGGCAGGCTTCCACTTGTCTTCTGGGAAGAAGGTGGTTGGCTTTGTAGCAACTCGGTAGATTTTTGTCTCACAATTCCTTAGGCCAAACTCAGCCAAATCTGGGAGTATCCAAAAGCTCTAAACAGATTCCAAAGAACTTGGGAACAAGGAACAGAAGTCAGAATGCTTCCTTGGCCTAGGAATGAATTCCCCTCTGAACTGCCCTAAATCTGTTGGCACTCACTTTACCACCACAGGTCCACCTTTTGCCCCTCCCAGGGCCTCCTAGAAATCAGGCCAGCTCCCTATCTTCTTATCTCCTTTCTGTCTCTCTTAGGGCACTTTTCTCTGTGGCTCTGTTTTTTTTCTGGCGTCTTATCTGTCCTCGGTGACTCCAAGGCTGGCTAGGACTGTGGAGTTGGAACCCTTCCTCAGTGCTCTAGGACAGCCTCTACTTCTTCCTTTTATCACCTAACTCCTCCTTCCCTATTCACAGCCATTGCTTTCCCTCTCTTTCTGCACTTCTCAGTTCAGTTCTCCCACTGGGCCCTGGCCCAGGCCCTTCCCAAATCCCTTCCATTCTGAGATTTTCCTCCCTTGTTTTTTAACCACAAAGGCATGGATGGGACAGGATGGTGACTTATAGGAACCTAAAAGAAAAATGTAGACATCAGGTAAGGGCAAGGATTATGAGAGTGGGAAGAGAAGCCAGGACCTACCCTCTCCAATTTCTTCCCTACCTGGGGGCCAGGCTCACATCTTAACTGCAGGAACCATCACACATACACACCCTCTACCATCCCTCACCCCAGCTCCCTCTCTGGCCCCAGTCCCCCACAACCCACTGGTCTCCAGGCAACGGCACAAAAGGAAAGTGGAGAGAGGGGCCTGGGAGGCCCAAGCAGAGCTAGCTGTAACCCAATCCAACCCTGTACCTGGTGTGGCGCAAGCACATGTGTGTGTGTGTGTGTGTGTGTGTGTGTGTGTGTGTGTGTGTGTAATTGCAATAACTGTTAGAGAGGTAACCTAGCAAGGAGGGAGGGAAGAAAGGACAGGTTAGCAAAGGTAGCTTCAACTATAATAATCCTAGCCAGCCTGGGAGTCACTGAGGAAGATAAGTTTCATAGACCCCAGAGAAAAGAGAGCCAAGAGAAAAGTGGGAAGAGCCCCATGGGACATAAAGGGACCTAGGAGAGAAGCGAAAGATGAGATGCCCATATTGAAATTAAGAGGCACAGGCGAGACCAGGGCAAGAAGCTTTGTTTTGTTTTGGGTACTAGGGTTGGAACCCAGGGCCACTCTACACTGAGCTACATCTTCAGACTGTTTTTTATTTTTGGTTTGGTACCAGAGATCCAACCCAGGGACATTTTACCGCTGAGCTACATCTCCAGTCCTTTTTACTTTGAGACGGGGTCTCCCTAAATTGCTGAGGGTCTTCCTAAATTGCTGAGACTGGCCTCAAACTTGGGAGTCTTCCTGCCTCAGCCTCACAGAGTCGCTGGAATTATAGGTGTGTGACATCATGCCCATGCATAAGAAGCTGTTTGAACTGAAAATGGCTGAAGTGTCAGGAATACAGGAATGAGGACAAAGGGACCTGGGCCCTGCTCATACACAACCAGAATCCTCTTTTAGCCTTAAGATGGGCAAAATGGCAGAGGGAGCCTGGGACCAGAACTTAAGAGAGTAGGAGCAGACTGGGAGGCCTGCAAAGGGTACAACCTTGAAATCGCTCCCCACTCCACCTCAGTTGTGTCCAGTAGTGTCCTGTAGAACCTTGACTCCCTCTAGTGGCACTATCTTTGTGTGTAGACCCTGCCTGAAGGGATGGATGTGCCTGCCCTAGCTCCAAGGTATTGGGAGGGGATTTGTTCCCCAAGGTGGTCCTTAAGTTGAGCAGCTCAATGCTGAGGCTCCATAAGAGCGGGAAGAGTTACAGAGGGCCTCTAGTCACAAATTGACACCCACCTTACAGTCCAACAGCCAAAGAGTATGTTGATTACTTTGAGTTTACTAGAGGGAGGACTATTTCCTTGGGCCTGCCTCTGCACCCCTGCTACTATTTTTCCCTCCCCACACCCCCATTTCGGGGACTGATGGCCATGAAGTCCTGTTCCACTTCAGAATCAGCCAGGATTTGGGGGAGAGAGACGAGTATGGGAGCTGCTCCAGTCTACAGCTTTATCTTTTCTTTGGACAAGGACCCTTAGGGAATTTTTAGACTGCTTTCCCCCCCAAACACACACATAAACATACACGCAACTTTTGATACTTCCAATGACTCCTGGGCTCCAGGTTAAGAACCCCTAATTCTGAGTCCTGAGGCCAGGCCTGCTGCTAAAGGCAGGTACAACAACATGGACCCAACCCAGCCAGGTTGGGGTAGGCAGTGCCATCACTTAACCAAAATTATTCAGTTGGTCTTCCTCTTTGTGCCCTTCCTAGCTATGCTATCCAGTGTCACCAACTTCCAAGTCTTCCATCTTCTCTTCACTCACATGGAACTGAGTAAGAGTCCTCAGACACAAAAATGCAGTGTGATTCAGACTTTAATGATGGTGCTCATTTCAAGCCACAGAGGTAGTGGCAAGTGTGGAACAGCACAGGGAAGTGAGACGGCACTCTGGTGCAGCTGGAGGAAGAACAGGGAACGTAGGGCTGGAGAGAGATTTTTAGGGGAAGAGTCCCCCCAGGCACAAAGCCCCACTCTGGACCAACCCAGGCTTCAGTCAGTAAACACAACATAACTGATATTAAGGCCCTTTTCTGTTACCTTCCCATTCTAGCATGACCTCCCACCCCAGATCATTATCAGATCTATAGCCACAGGAAATACAGGTGCATAGTTCTGTGAAGTCAGGCCAGATTTAGGCCTGAGAGTTTCAAGGAAATTATTAATAGGTGAATTAAAAATAAATAAATAAATAAATACACTAAGCTTTAGCTGGGCACGGCCACACACCAAGCACTCCCTACTGCTCAGCACTATGCCCAGTTCATGGCTCATA